CAGCATCCCACCCCACAGCATCCCACCCCGTAGCATGCCATCCTGCAGCGTCCCACCCCACTCCCCGCCCTGGGGCAGCTCAGCCTGGCACGCACATCTCCGGAGCAAGGCTGCATTTTGCAAACCAGGCTGATATTTTTACTCCGAGGCTTTAACCGCCACACATGGAACGGATTAACCCAGCAGGTATTTCCTCCCTAGGCATGAAATTTCATCAGCGCTTTTTAAACCGTTCCAGTAAGCGTTGCAGATGACCCGGGCTGGCCGGTGGCTGAGCTACTTTTGCATTTCAATCACTGTTGTGCTGCACCCCGTGGGTGATGCTGGACCCTTCCCAGGCGAGGATGCTCAGGGATGCTGCAGCCCTGAGTAAGGGGCAACGTCGAGATTGCGCCAATGGGAGCTTGCAAACAGCCAGGCATGGTCCTGCCTACGCTGGCTGCTCTGAGTCATTTGAGAAATATGTCGTGCTTCCTATTATTAAGAGTAAAATCATGAATTCAGCCCTGGCAGCACAACCTTTCTTACCTAAATAGGCTCCATGATTTTTCAGCTCCTCCGGGAACTCCTGGAGATAGGATTCCCGCAGGGGAATGACTTTCCCGCTGCTGGTTTCCTTCAGGACGGCTCCGTTCCAGTCGTAGGCACCCACGGCTCCCAGCAAGATCCCATCCTGCGGGAGAGCGGGAGGAGTTTGGGGTATTTCTTGCCAAGTGGAGACAATTGTCCCCCACCCTGCCCGCAGGGACAAAGCTGGTTCCTGCTGGGACGGGCGAGGGGACGCGATGGGCTGGTGAGAACACATGTGGGGGTCCCTCAAAAAAACCCTAGACTATATACTTAGGGGAGGCTGAAGAGTGCAGAAGAGAAAGTCAGCAAATGGTGCCTCCCAGAAATTGCGCATTTTATGGAAAAGGGAAGAAATCTCACAAACGGACAAAAAAAATCAATAATAATAATAATAGTAAAAATAATCAAGCAAACCATCCTCCAAAGCACACTTGGAAAGAGGGAGCTTTTCAAACATGCTGGGGTGACATTTCCACCCCTTCCATATGTTTTCCGTGTGATTTTCCTCCCCAGGAAGAGCTGGAGCAGAAATCCCTGCTGGCTTTTTGCTCGGACCTGCCAGCCCGCAGCGCCCGGGGGTGGCAGGGGATGGTCTGCCCTCTGCGTCCCACCACCACGGCAAATCCCTTCCAAGAGCTTGTGGCATCGGGAAGAGCTGCTCAGGCTGGTCCTGAGGAAGGGACGGGTCTCCAGCATCCCCCTTCCCCTGGGATAAACCAGCAGCAACCACATTTTCCTCCTTATGCTGGTGTTACCAATTGAGCTTCATGATGAATAACTTGCCCAAAATACCATCTCCCCACCCCCAGCGCCTGGTGACAATAAAAGGCAGGAGCAGGAGCAAAAAATACCAAACAACAACCCATATTTACTCTCTTACTTCCACAACATGTGATGAAAATCCAGTCTGGGACATTTCCAGTCCAAAGGAGATTTCATTCTTGTTGGTTCCTTTAAAAAAAAAAAAATAAAATAAGGGGAACTTGGATTTAATGGAATTTAATGGAGAGCTTCGATGGGACTGAGGGGTGCTTGGGTGGGTCAGGGTGGGATGAGCACCCACCACCACCCCCCAGAGCACAAAGGACTCCAGCTGCTGCAAGATGACACCAAAATATGGATTTGGAGGATTTCTCCTAATTGCAGTGGGGTGAAGCTTCTCACCCAGGGGAATTTTCTTCCCCAGAGAAGCATTGGGCTGGCTGGACCAAGGGAACTGGGAGTTTGTGAGCTGGTTTGCCCCAAATTCCCCCAAAGCCCACAGTGTTCAATTTGCAGTGAAAGCCCTCCATCCTCTGTTCCCATTTTCATCTCAGGACGCGCTTTTCCTATGAAATTTAGATTTAGAAATTGAGAGCCACCATAGCTGTGCACATACCGGTGACCAGAACGAGGGGTGAGCTTTGGAGGAGAGAGCGTCTGCTGCTGGTGCTGGAGGGATGCAAACCGCTCAAAATAAAGACATTGCTTTAGAGATGGAGATATTCAAAGCAATATTTTATGTTCTGTATCAGATATTAGGGAAACCTCTGGCGTGACCCGTTCCAATTCAGCAAACCCAGGAGTGACAGCACATCCGAACAACCCGCTGCAGCTGGGAGGTGTCGGGGAGGATCATCGCTCACCTTCCAAGCTAAATATCCTTTCCCCCAGCGCGTCCACGATGTCTTTGAGCGCTGCCTCATCCGTGACATTAAAGAAATGTTTGTCATCCGGGTCGCTCGCTATAAATTTTATCTCATTCAAAAAGGCTTCGGGATTGATTCCTCTTCTGTTATAATAACCCAACACCTAGGATGGAAACAGAAATGCAAGAGTCAGGGGTTTCCATGCGATGGATGAAGACATCCCAGAGCTGCTGTAACTCATGGAATTTGGGTGCTTGGTGCAACGCAAGGTCCTGCCTGTCCCCAGCCACGGCACCTGCTCCAGCAGCCGAATCCAGAGACGAGCATCCCACCGCCTCCTGCAGAAGCAGGACCAGCAGCAGCCACCCCTGCAAACGTGCGCGCTGGCAGTCCCATGGCATTGGGGAGCACAGGGCACGGCTGAGCTCTGCATGGCTTTCGCAGCCGTTCCTTGCTGGAAGGGGTCCCCCACTTACCGCCACGGCGTATCTGGTGACGTTGTCCTTCTCGCTGTCCTCGATCACCTTCTCCAGGTCTGGGCTGTCGTGCGACTCTCCATCTGTGATGACAATCATTACTCTCTTTGCCCCTTTCCGGCCACCTTTCTGAAATGCTTCCGAGCTGCAATTGAAGAGATGCCCTGGGCTGCTCAGCCTCGCCAGGCGGCACGCGGCTCCCACCGCTCCCCAAAACCGCCACGGCTGGCGGACATGTGCCCCATCACCCCCATCATAAAGCACCGAGCGGCGTTGGGTGGGCTGCCAGCCCCTGGGGAGATGCAGTGGGGTGCAGGACTCACAGGAAATATTTTAGGACTTTAAAAGGGGATTTTTTTTTTCCACTGATGGAGCTTCTTGCAGGAAAGGAGGCTTTAATTCAGCAAAATGTGTGCAGGGGGTGAGGCAGTGGCCCAGGTTGCCCAGAGAAGCTGTGGATGCCCCATCCCTGGAGGGGTTCAAGGCCAGGCTGGATGAGGCTTTGGGCACCCTGGGCTAGTGGGAGGTGTCCCTGCCCAGCTCCCTTCCAACCCAAACCATTCTATGATTCTATGAAAATTCCCTAAATACCAGTTGGGCTGTGCCAAAAAATTGCAGGAGCAGATAATGGAGGAGATGGAGCTGTGGGTCGGGGCTGTACTGAGCTCCCGGGTACCCAACAAGGATCTGCAGACCCTGGGGCAGGTGGAGGTCACGTTTGGGGGGCTGAGAGCTCAGCTCTGGGTGCTTTCAGAAAGAGGAGGCGTCTCCAGAGTCTGCCTCTGCATCCTCCTCCTGGTCCAGCTGCAAGTGAGGATGGAGCGGTTTTGCAAAGCATTGTTTGTAAAGCACGAATTGAGGACTGAGCCTTTTGGTAAGAATATTTTTAGCCTGGCTGTATCCCTTGCTTTCTAAGCAGCAAGGAAAAGTGAAGGGGGAGAGAGGGAAGAAAAATCAACGGTAACTTTAAACTCATTATCAGAATGAAGAGGAAGGTGAGTGATTTTTACCGAGCAAACTCTATCCCATAGGCGGTCCTGGTTTCTGTACCTCCTCTCTGCTCTATGTGACTGGCAGCCGCTACCACATCTTTTACAGACCTGTAGTCATTTAAATGAAACTCGTGGACGACGTCTTCTCCGTACTGAACCACTCCGACCTGGGGATTAAAGGAAGATCACAACGGACGCCAGCAACCTGCTGCATAGCGCGGGTCTGCGACACAACGAGCAGCTTTGGTCTACCACATGGAGTAACCGCCACCGTTAAAAACCAATCACTCTGTCCCAATATGCTCCAGACTTCCCTCTATGGGAGGGTTGATAATTCTCAATTTTGCTTTTCTTCTCTGCCAGCTGACCCATGTGCAGCCAGCCCTGCCCAGCCATAACGGGTCGGGGTGATGCCGATGTGCTGTGCCCCAGGGGGGACCCACAGCATCAATAGATGGGACCAAACGGGGGGTTAGCTGTGAACATTGGTGAGGATACCCCCGCACAAACCCACGCCCAAATCAGCCCATGGTTACTCATAGGTAGAGGATGGAGTTCTCTTTCCAAGCTGTCTCTGCACAGGGCAATATTCTATATTTCCAAATTATTTCGTCTCCCTGTGCCTGCTCAGGGTGGGGGGTGCTGCTCTCTCCGTAACTCATTTGAGACCATTAATATGAATGTTATTTCCATGGACTCTGCTTTGAAATCCATACATGAAAAATTTATTTTGAAAAAGGGTGGTGCCAAATTACAGCACGTTGGCAGCAAAGGGACGTTGAAAATCCAGGTGAGCACGGCCAGGGATTCTGCACGGCACGGGGGGGATGCACAAATTGTGCGGGGGCTTACTTGTATCTGGCCGGGACCAATATAAAATTTTTTCAAGATGTTTATGAGGAAGTGCTGAACTTCAACCCAAGGATAGATGCTGTTTGATCCATCCAGGACGATGATTATGTCCATGTACGTCTGGCATCCTGTGAAAAACACACAGTCGGTTATTGAAAGACCTTGGCAACGCTCGCAAAGGGGAGATTTATGGCTTCATTCCTCCCAGTCAGGTACTTGCTGTTAGGATTTTTTTGAAAAAAAAAAAAAAAAAAGGTCTTATTTCAATCATTCATAAAGACCTTTGGGCTTCCATAAGGTAGAGAGAAGCCACAAGCATCCTCTCTGCCGAGAAAAGACCGGATAACTTTCTAAGAATAACACTCAGCAGTATCTTTTCTGATTCAGATTTGGATTTTTATCCGGTCTAATGTAGTTCCATACTTCAAAGAGCGGTGCGCTGCAGGCAGGATCCGGCCCCGTCCCCCCCGCAGAGCGATGCTTTACCCCTGAGTCACTCCCCAGCCCCGCCTGGCCTCGCCGGAGAGCGCGAGTCGGGCATTTCCTCCCCTTCCCATTAAATCCTCCACGATAAGGCAGCCAAAAACCCCAGCGAGGACCCCAGGGCTCCGCAGTCCCAGCCGCCAAGGGTTGAGGCAGTTGACTGGTTTTCAGCCGGGAAAATTGCTCAGCATCATCTCTCCCTCTTCCTTATAGTTTCTAAAATTATTTAGAAAATTTGCAGAAACCCAGAAGATGCCGGGTTTTCCAGTGACAGATGATTATTGGCTGGCCTGGCATTTATGGGTTAGTGCATCCACGGATCCGACACAGGTCACTCCATCACCATGGTCCTCAGCCACGTGCCACCGTCTCACCCCCCGCCCCAGGACCCAGGGCAGGGAACATCCTCCTGCATCCCACCCACAAAACGGTAACGCTCTGCTCCTTAACAACCTTCTGCCTAAAAAAAAAAAATGACCCTTTGCAGTGAGGGCTAAAAGCATCTTTTGGCCATAAAGAGGGAAGCGACACTGGGAAGGTGGTGGTGGGCTCTGCCTTTCCTGCCTCTGCCCCCACAAAAGTCCCATTTTCCCGCGCTCTGCTCTGCGCTGTGAGAATTTATCGGCACCAAAACGGTGATGGAGCCGGAGCATCGCACCCCTTCGGGGGGGCCCTGATGGTGCAGGACAGGCTTTGGGAATTTCTTACCACCTACAGGAAATCCAGGAAGCTTCTTTAATATCTCAAAAGAAAATCACGTATCCAAATTTACACAATTGGGCCAAAAAATTCAGCTTCCAGTCAATGAGCTCTTTGTTTCGTGCGGCCAAGGTCTGAATTCTTTCCTCTATTTTGCCTTCTTAGCCGTGCTGATAAAATATTCTGGATACTTTTATTTCTGGTTTTGGAAGAATAAGGTATTTTTTGTCTTCCCCGGGTGTCAGTCAAAAGGAAAATGTTTACCAGATGTCTGCGTATGTAACCCCCTTTGAATCACTTCCCTGCATCCATTTCCTCTGCTCTCTTGCCTTCGCTCAAACACTGACATCGCTTTGTGTTCTCAATGGGGCTGAAGCGATTAAAGAACAGAAATCCCCTCTGACTTCAAAGGCGGGGTTAGAGCTGCAGGACAGATTGTTTCTCCTACTCTGCAAAGCCGGAGCCACCGTCTTGGAGAACCTGAAGTTGGAGTTGACCCTGGAGCACATCCCCGTGGTGTAGTAGGAGCTCCCGCACTCGTGGGACCAGAGGGGGCTACAGGCCTGGGGAGGGAAAAAAAAAAAAAATCAGGGATGGATTGAAAATTGCTACTGTTTAATTGCTGCTTTTCGAGGCTGGCCATGCTTTTCCCACATGGAAGATGAGGGTGTATGAGGTTTCAGAGCCCTGTGGTGCAGGCAGCATATATAGAAATACACAGATGGGCGGGTTTGCACACCTTTGTATGTCCGTGCAGCTGGGTTTGCACACCCTTATATGTCCATGCAGCTGGGTTTGCACGCCTTTGCACCTATATGTCCATGCAGCGGGGTTTGCACACCCTTATATGTCTGTGTGTCTGGGTTTGCACGCCTTTGCACCTGTATGTCCCTGAAGCTGGGTTTGCATGCCTTTGCACCTGTATGTCCATGCAGCTGGGTTTGCACGCCTTTGCACCTACATGTCCATGCAGCTGGGTTTGCACGCGTTTGCACCTGTATGTCCATGCAGCTGGGTTTGCACGCCTTTATATGCTTTTGCACATGCATCTGCTTTTGCGTGGCTTTACACGCCATGTGCATGCCCCTTGCAGTAACCGAAGTCCCTGCTCCTCACCAGAAAGCTGTTGTCCTTGGGGTTGGTGGCCAGGCTGAGGCCAAGGCGCATGTTGTCCTTCCTCTCAGAGACGTTGGAGAGCGTTACCCGTCCTTCGGAGAGAGGATGCGTTTAGGGACAGTCGCCACCCAGCCCATGTCCCTGTGTCGCTCCCCAGCATCTCTGGAGCAAGCGGGAACCCGCTGAGCGCTGGAGCAGAGTCTGCTCTGCCTGCTTATGCTGCAGACTTTGTGCTTTTGCTTTTTTTTTTTTTGAAGCAGTCATCAAGATAAGAATTTTTTTATTTTTTTAAATGCCGCAACCAACAAAGAGAAACATCCTCCAGGGAATGAAGCTCTGAGTCAGCGACGGCATCTCTCACATAGTCAATATTTAGGAAGAAACCCCTCTGAGCAGCTACAGCATCTCATCTTTTCTGGCCAGGCCAGTAGGCATTTAGTGGCTGGTTCATCTTGGTGCGTTGCTTTTCTTTCCCATGTCACAGCCCAGAAACCAGGACTGGCTCCCAGGGCAGCCCCGGCTTTCTGCTCACACTAATATCCTTCAGCTGGGACAAAACCCTGCCTAACCCATTCCTCCACTTCAGGGGCTCCAGAAAATGCAGCTCCTGTGACCCAGGGCTCCCCCTTTGCTGTTTTGCCTGAGAAGGAAACTGAGAAGGAGGAAATTGGGCAATTAGTGGTAAAACTGGGCGGCTGGGACATTTCTTTGCCTGTGGCCATTAGAAGTTTCTTGCTGAGGTTTAAATTGAGCTCAGAAAATGAGATCCACCATCAGGAGGTCGAGGGAGCTCAGCCCGATGCTGAGCATCCTCCAGCAGCCCCTCGCTCCATCCCTGCGGACCGGCCGGCTGCAGCCCCGGCTCCCAGCCCTGCACCCCAGGCGTGCTCCAGCCCCCCCTCTGCATGGACACTGCAGCAAAGCCAGAGAAAAAGGGGCTTCAGCCCATCTTCTGCATCCTGCGGGATCCTGGCAGGGATGCTGAGACCCTGCTGTCCCGCTCGGGTACCCAGGTGTGGGACATGTGGGGGGAGCAGGATGCTCCCCATGGCTCCTGCATCTGCTCGGCATGGGGAGGGAAGGGGCAGAGCTCCCGTCCCCCATCAGCGGGTGCTTCTCCGCACCATGGTCATCTCTGCGGCACGCTGGCTGTCAGCTTGGCATCCCCCCCCGGGCAGCTCCGCGTCTGGTTTTACTCAAAGGGCCACAGGGGACTGTGCTAACTAGACAAGTTAATTGGGAAAAAAAAATAAAATAGGATGTGCTCATGGAACCGGTCTTTTCATTTGAAGCTTGTTTCCAATGGACAAAGGATTGCTTTTTAGCAAGATTCAAATTTATACTCACAGGAGACTAATTTCCTTCGATGTTCTCATAGCAAGTAACAAAAGGAAAAAAAAGGAAAAATAAAACAATGTTTAAAAAATAGAAGATTTGGAGACAATCAAATATTGCAGATGATCCAAAGTTCCTCTTCTCTTATCAGCTCTGCTAGAAACCCAAGACAGTTCAGATTCATCGTGATGAAAAATAAAGTGAGAACAGCTGCTCCAGCTGCTCCAGCGTTCAAAAATCCCAGACCCCGCTCCCAGACCCCGTCGATGCTCCTCAGGACCATGAGAAAGTCCCCGGCTCTCACGTTGCCTGCCGAGACAGGGGTGTGCCTGTCGGGTCCCCCACTTTGGGCAGCAAAGGGGACTTGTCCCCTTGTGCCCTGCACTGCCCTGACCTGGTGAGGGCATGTCCCGATATCGTGATATTATACTGTCAGTGCAGTTGGTGCTGGACCAGCCTGGGACACCCCGAGAAAGAATTTGCTCTCTCCATCTGGGGAGATGGGACTGGGATGTCTGCGGGAGCGGAGTCCCCCTGGGGTCTCTCCTCTTGCAAGGGCAGCGATGGGGCCTGGGGGTGGCGGGGCTGGGTGGGAATTCCCAAACACCAAGGCTGCGGGGGGAGGGTGGGTGGTGGGAGCAAAATTTCCCTGCGCCCAGAGGACCTGCTGTGATGTGTACATCATCCGAGCATCCCTCGGAGAGGGGATACAGACACCAGCACGTGCAGCCAGGTGTTTGCTCAAGGGGCCGTTATCCATTGATGAGTTTATCCTGATCCGTTAATAAACCAGTTTAAACTATATTAAATAAAGAACTTTTTTACTTTGTTCCAATTCGCTTGATTTTCATGGAATCCCAGAATGGTTTGGGTTGGAAGGGACCTTAAAGCCCACCCAGTGCCACCCCCTGCCATGGGCAGGGACACCTCCCACTAGCCCAGGTTGCTCAGAGCCTCATCCAGCCTGGCCTTGAACCCCTCCAGGGATGGGGCATCCACAGCTTCTCTGGGCACCCTGGGCCACTGCCTCACCCCCGCACAGGAAAACATTTCTTCCCAAGATCTCATCTAAACCTCTCCCGTTCAAACCGCCCCGTTCCCCTCGCCGCCCTGCCCTGCACAGTACCTAGGTTGAGTTTGGTGCAGTTGCTGTGGCCGGGGTCGGTAACT